TAATATATTATATAACTCAATTGACCAGTCCCACAAAAAGTTGCTGTAATAACAAATCACATTAAGTGACATTGACTAATATATAGCGTAATTATGAAGATGATTATATGTAGCTAAGAATTAATATATATTTGAAGATTGATAATTTAGAATAATGATTAACTTAAAATTATATTCTTATAATTTTCTAATTTAATTAATAAATATTATGAATTTATTCAATATTACCATATAATAAACCACAGATACACATTTTATAAAAAAATTAGAGTAAATAAAGAATCTATAAATATGCATTGACAAATACAATATATTGTAATTAAAAATATAGGAAGAAGTATAATTGTCTATAATATTATTAATATATTTATAAAACATAAAATTTATAATGTAATTATGCTTTTATGCATTTAATTAAAAAAAGAAACTTATATATTACATAATAATATAAAATAAATATTTTAGTTCTACAATTTAGCTTAACAGAACATAGAAACTTGAACAAATACAATATAATAAAATAAATTCTAGATTTTAATTATTTTATATTACAAAATTTTTATACAAAAAACTCTTTATAATTTAATTTTATTTTATACTTATAATTAAGCTATAATTTGTAATAAATGTATCTTTTAATATCATGGATACGTAAATCATATAAAAGCAATACATTAATTATATGAGCAAATCTAAAGTTTTTATATAAAATACCATAATAAAAAGCTATTAAGATTATGCACGGGATGACACATACACAATTAATATATCAAATTTAGTATATAACATAATTAAATGTGTAAAACAATAATTATTATAGAATTATATTTTTATATCAATTAAAGAAATATATGTAATCACATTTAATTATATAAATTTATTACTATAATTATATTAAAATTTCAATTAAATGTCATATATATTGTTGTACATCTATACATTTTATAAATGTAAAGCATATTTAGCATAATATATATAATTTGACCGATGACTATTATTCTAGTATTTATGTTTTACATATCTCTTCTACACTATGTATATTCAATATTTGTAAAATATATAAAAATGTATATTACCGTAGCACGTAATGCGTAGACTTAATAATAATATGCTTTCAAAAAATACGTTATTACAAAATAATGTTTAATAAGTATATTACATAAAAATATTCCATTAGAAATGTAATTATTAATTTATATACCTTTTATAAGCATGGAGTTTAAAAAATATATATGTAAAAAAAAATTTTTATCCAATATTATGATAATTAAAAAATGAATAAGTATTTAGGTTCCAGTGCTAACATTTATACTACATGTATAAGAAGAATTTGCAAAAATATAATATAAAATAACATAAAAAAAAGTCAAAATCATATAGTAAAGTTTTAATAATTAACATATATTAATTTTTTTCTTAATATTTCGTATATATATATAACTATTTAATAGTTTATTCAGGTATATTTCTTATAACTGTTAAATATATTACTTATACATATTATATACATTATATTTTTCTTAATATTATTCATAAATTCTCTATACGTATCAAAATTTAGAGTGATAAATAGAATTAAATTTTGTTATTACATTTATATTCTTCATATCTATTTGTTTTACCACTCTGCTCCTGACTTATATATATATTTAATATGAATATGAATATATATATAAATATCATTTAAAAATAATATAACTTTTACATAGAGACAAAAACATACATTTTCTTTATAGAAAGGTTATTATAACTGGAATTTTTTATAGAATATATATATATAATTCTGATTATTTTATATCTGTAATATATTCAATTAAAATACATAAAATTTTAAGTGTTCCATAGAAATTTATCTTTTTTAAAAGGCAATATAATGTAATTATCAGTCAATTTATATATATCTAAATTACAATTATAATTTAATATATGTATTAAAAGACTCCTAATGAAACACATATATTTTTATAAATAATAAATATATTTAGAATTTCCAAATTTAAGCATAAATATTTGATACATGGTAAAATATTCATATTACAAATAAAATTTTTCGTAATTCTATATTATATATTAAGGGAATAATAAAATATAAAGTATATATAATATATAAACATATATTTTCTATTATATTTATATCACAAAATTTTGCATTAATTAAACAATATTAAAAGAAATATTAATAAATACCTATATTAATAATGTATATATTTGTACATAAAAAATATTCTTTAAAAGCGTAATAATACATATTATGTATTCATTATTTAGTAAAAAGTAAATTTATTAATATATATATATCATTAATTTTTTATGATAATAAAGTCCTAAATATATATTGCTTCTTATATAGTCAATTCTTTAAAACAGTTGATATTAACTTAGCTGTGTCTTAAATATAAATAAATTTAAAATTCTCTAAGATTCTTTTTATATATTATCTGGAGAACATTATCAATTCTATACATAAAATATATTATGTATATAATGTATAATGAAATATATGTAAAATTATATTTTTAATAAAATAAATAAATATATTTCTTAATGTAGTATAAAATATAACTCTAATATGAATAATCATAAAAGATAAAATTATTTGAATAATAATTTTTATAATCATTTATTTTTGTTATTATATTTATTAGCATAGAAATACTTATGTAATATATTTTTACATGTTGATTAGGTTTGATAAAATATTGTTATATTTTTATTACTTTTATGTATACGCAAAAATCAAATAAATAAAGAAACAAATATATTTAATATTTTGAACAATAATAATTATTAATCATATTATTATTTATGCAACATATATGTAAGAATATATTTTACACATATACCATAGCATATAATTCCAAGTAAATAATGTTATTTATATTGTTAAAATGTATATTTTATAAGAAAATTTATAATATTTTATAAAATATGTGTTTCACTAATGAAGGTAATATATAAGTAGAACTTATATTTTTTTTCTATTTCTATTAAACACTATTATATTTGTAACAAATGTAAAGTATAATTGCAAAAAGTATGAATATTCGAGCTGCATTATATTTTTTGTTTAAACAGTGAGAGGTTATATATATATTAAACAATGAAGATAAAAATACACAATGTAAATTATGTTATAAAAAATATTTTTTAAAAGGTTCTTGTACATACATATCCTTCCTAATCCAATGCAATAAATTCTTTTATTTATTGATCTTTGCTATTTATACATGAATGTATATAATTAATCCTTCATATTATAGATAACTATATTCCTATTATGGAAAAATAAGGAATTAAAGAAAACAAATTAGATCCCACAATGTACAATATCTTAAAAAAATAGATTCATCATATGTTATTTTAAAAATCCCTGTGTTTTTATCTTAAAAGTGTGAAAACACATTCTCATTATTAATTTACACTAATCGAGGATTAAGGGGGCTATACATATTCAAATTTATCTAATTTATATATAATGAAAAAACTTTATTATAGGAAAATATAATTTAAAAAATATATAAAATAAAAAAAGTGTATGATGCATGAATACATAAAAGAACATTTTTTCATGTAACAGTATTTTATGTACATAACATAAGAAAAAATAATTTATAGAGAATATAATTATTCTTAAGTTATTATGAAATAACATTAGGAACACATAATAGTTATAATAATTATTATATTATATTTTTTAAATTTAGATACGTAAAAATTATCCTAGTTAAAATGCTAATTTCATATGGATTAATTATATTCTACATTATATTATTACCATTTGCAATATGATGTATTTACTTGTTTAAATATATTTTACCTTAAAAATAAAAAATAAGAATTTAAAAGAAACCAAAAAAATATCTATGAATGCTTTATTAGCTTTATTACAACAACTAAAATGAACAAACATTTCATTATCTGTATATATTTATTTTATATTCAATGATACACGTATTATCTACGCAATTTTTTACTCTAGTAACAAATTTTCTATTAATAGTAGATGTTATTTTTTACTAATATAGCATTGAAAAAAATAGGAAAGAGTATATATAGAGCAATTATATGTTATTTATTTATAAACATTACCTAATATAATTCATAATATATAAAAAGATATGATTTATGTCCAAAAAATTTATATTTTGTTATATAAGAATGCATATTTATTAATATAAATTAAGATATAAGAATAAATGTTATATTAGTATACATGTCTTACAATTTATCTAAGGAAACTTATATTTAATAAAATTTGACATATTGTCATCATAAATTTGGGGGAAAATAGCATACTTTGTAAAATAACTTCACATGAATATTATAAAAATACATTTTGATTATTTTTATTTAATACTTATGCATTCTTTTTTTTATAATGTCATATAATATAATACAATTATATATATGTAAAATTTATATTTTAATTGTAATAATTTATTATATTTACGATATTCCACTTAACAACAAAAAAAAATTATATATCACGAAAATACAGAATATTAAAAAGAAGAATTTATAAAATATATGTTTTTTATATTTAGTTATTCATCATGAACTAATCAATATTTTATTAGCATTTTTCATTCTATTATTTGTACCATAATTACATTAAAATTACCAATCATTCTATATCTTTTTTAATGTATTATAAACAGTATTTCATTTGCATATCTACAAATGAATACAACCAATCTAAAAAAGATTTAATTTCTCACACTTATATATTATTTATATGAAATATATTCTTGTAAATATATATATATTCGTATCAGTAAGCAGAATTTAATAGAACATTTTATATCCTATTATATGAATTATTGCCATATGTATCATATGAATGCTCTGTATCGTAATCTACATATGTTTTTTTAAATACATTTCTTACCATTTTTACAGTAAGTTGCAAGTGTTAACCATATGTGCTCTACTAATAAAAAAAATATATATATTAAATTGAAAATTTAATATTTTAAATGTATATATATTTCTTTGATAAATTAACAATTATTCTGTAGTATAAACTTACATATTATTAACCTCATATATAAAAAATGAAAAAACGATATTAATAATATTATAACAATAGGAATTGATGTAGAAACTACTAATATTTTTATATGAGCATATGATAATATATTGGGTAAACGTATGTCACACTGTCTTACTTATGCTTGTTGATTAAATTTTGTCCTAATATTTATCAAATATATATATAAATCAGGAAAATATTTGATTCAAAACATTCCTAAGCCGATTATATATATCATTGCTCTTTTTAGCACAATGGTATTTGTCTCCATCACAATTACATGAATCATGATTTTCCATATTACTAAACTCTATACTCATATCATACAAATCTTTAAGTATTTCCAAATTAAGAATATCATTATTTTCCTTAAACACATCAAAAGGAAAAATTCGATTTCTTGTACAGGCTATTTTAAACACTTCCTCATAAGAATCCTTGATTTTTCTAATATCCTCAGCCTTATTCTTATGGATCCAACAATACAAGTATTTTATAGCAGCATTATACAATGAGAAACTCATCAGCTGTATGAAATATATCATATAAATATTGCAAATTCTCACAGCATATATCTTCCACAACTGAATTAGTTATACATCGAAATTTTCTCATAATATTTTTACAGTAATACTTCCAATGGCTTTTTCCTTCATTAGCAACATACATGATTTTTATGCATTTAGAAATTAATGAATATACGTTTTTATACTAAAATAATATAAACATAATAGTATTACAAAGCCACATATGTATAAATATGTATATATATAATGGAAATTTATACATGCGCTTGTAATATTTTTATAGTTCTTATTATTATAATTCTGTCCGACAATATATTTTTCTATATAAAATATGATTATACATATCTTTAGATTGATTGATAAAATGAAAGAAATTTACTGAAATATATATTCCAAAATTTAAAAAAGATTATACATGATTTTAGGAAATATTATTTAGTTTTTTTTAAAATTAAACAATTGATGTAATGAAAAATTGGAATAAAATAATCACGAATTTTAATTATAATATGGTAGTAACTATTTGTGATATATAGAATGTGTTCTTGAATATTTTAAGGAATAATTAAAAAACATAAACCTAGTGCTTAGATAGACAGGGTTCTAGTATTCTTGTTAAAATATAAGCCTAAAGGCATCCACTGTTCTTTATAGATCATGGTTTTAGTCTCAGGGATTGGAATTTTCTGTTAGTGAATTTACATCATATTCTACTTTTCATACATTATTTATTGAATATAAATTATATGTAAAGCTGGATAATATATTATTTTCATAATTATATTTTAATAATAAACATGTATTTTTTTTTTACTGTTATTAATGCATATTTATATATTTTTTTTTAAAATTAATAAAAATATATAAACTTATTTACTTTTCGTAATTAAAATATATAATTTTTTATTATAAAATTTAGTGTGTGTTATAAATTTTTTCTATATTGCATTATTTTATAATTATATATTATTGTGTCATTAAATGCAATATATACATTCTTATTTTCCTTGTAATAAAATTTATTTGACACTAGTAATAACAGTTTATATTATTTCTCATTTGTGTACATTATTAATTCTAATATTTATAATTATATTCGCATTACATATTTATAATATTTTTTTCTCTGTTTTTATTTTTTTTACATATAAATTCCAGGTTTTTTAATCATATATATATTCTATTAAAATAATTATGTACTTTTTTCTTTAATAATAATCTCATATTTTTAAGGGTATGCATAAATATAAGTAATGATAAATGCTATGATTAAATTTAATCATTATACTATAAAAATATTCATATACTGTGCCTTCTCTATTTTTTCGTTATTTTATTTACATTATATATATTTTTAAATTTTGTATTATTTATATATATTAGTAAAAATATATTTAAATAAGTGCTGACTGCTAAGATTGTATTATTTATACATATATATTTGGAATGATTACTTCGCAATATAGAAGTAAATTATATTTATTAATGATTTTTATACATGAAACATATTATTATATTTAATTTAAATCCTAATTTTTAATCCCTAATTTCTATTTATATTTTAGAAAACATATATGCGTATATTATATACAAGAAGCAAATAGAGTATAAAGAGGTAATACTTCCATTTTAATAT